GTTAGCCGTATAAGAGGCTTGAGCGGTTTCCGCCCAAGCCGAAGAGGACTCCACATCCATCTCGTGGGGACTCTGGGTACACGGCAGGGTAATAGAAACCCTGTGTGAGATCCAGAGGAGTGTGGCAGCCTGATCCACCGCCCACCTCTTCCCGTCTTTGAGCGCGACTTTTATAAGACGTACTTACGATTTCTATTTTGGTGGCTCGTTCACCCAGAGCATCCGGAGCTCTGCACCGTGGAGCCTAGCAACCTCCACGAGACCGTCTGTGTTGTTTGTCTGTAACTGCAACTTAATCAATCTTTCCAGCCTACACCACTGCCATCTCGGTGTAAGTAAACAATCTTTTAAACTACCGCTACGCATCCGTAACTAATTCCATTTCGAAGGCCTTCCCTCTCTGCCCCGGTGTGCCTGGGCTGCTGGCCACAGCCCGCGTGCAGCGCGAAAAGGGCTCGGGTCGCTCCCGGCCCGCACAGAATCCACATAAAGCGAGGGAAACCTGTACATCATCACAAATGGTTTAATGCTGTATCCCCAAGGGAGGTGGTTATGGGCAATGTGCCGTGCTTGTTTGGTCTAATATTAACAGTTAGGTTCTTCCCTCTAAAGAGATGGTGACTTTTAAATAAGAGTAATAATAAAAGATGGTTCAAAGATGTCTCAGACATGCTCCCTAAGAATGAAAGCAGCATTTCCCACTGTTTCTGAAGTCATGTACTTAACTACAAAAAGTGCATTAGTGCTACTACTACTGCTAGAGATGCCAGCTTGCTCATTCACGTTAAAAAATAAAGGAAAATTGCTCATAAAAGTCTCTGTTAAGACAGAGATAAGGTTGTTGCTGCATGATAGTGCTGCCTTTTTGTGCTCTTCAAACCCTTAGACTTGCATGTAGAGGTGCACCGATATATCGGTCTGATATCGGATCGGCACTGATATGAAGAAAATTGACTGTATTGGAAATTGGCTTTTTTTGCCTGATGTGCTGATAAATGCCCCGTGCATGCGTGCAGCCGCAGTACACCACGTAGGTAGCAAGGAGCATGGCCTGGCAGCTTGGACAGCCCCAGCCCCACTCCCTCACCGCAGGAGCCTCGATCTTCCCTCCCTTGCCCCTTCCCTTCCCCTTCCACCACAACAGACTTACCAGCCAGACACTGCTCTTCAAGCTCCTGGGCTTATCAGTATTGGCCCAAAAAATCTCTATCGGTGCATCCCTACTTGCATGTTACAAAACTGAATTAAGTCACCCCACTTAACCTCAAAGTAATATAAATGGGACAAGAAAAAACAAGGATGCTCCCAAAGGCCTAGAACAGTAGGTATTGGGCTACTTCACTCACAAGGCAAACATCCAAACGTTGCTTTGTGGAAATGATGGTAGGAACTGGGAACAATCAGACTACAAAACCCCTTCCTAAAAATGAGGTTTATTGTCTGTTCCCTGCAGCTCCATGACAGGATTTCTGTCCATACACACCAATGGATCCCTTAAGGCAAACCGTATGATATGAAGGGAAATTTAATAGAGATAGACAGTTGCACAGTTAGGTTGACATAGTAGAGGAGGCATTTGAAGAGGTCTTAAGATTAGTTTCCTAGAATTTAGGCAAATATTTGTCACTTCTGAAAGAATGTGGCCTCACTAAGGGAGCACAGTTATGTTTGCATGGCTGCGCTGCATTTGAAGCACCACTTTTCTACACTGTCTGGTTTATGTGAATGTATAGGGGTGTAGGAAGAGTCTATCACAAGCATGTTTTTTATGGATATGCTGGGAGACCTTCGAAGAACATTTTGAGAAAATACAGGGAGCAGAAGACAATGTGAGGCAGCAACATTAGCTCCACTTTGTCAAAGTGGCTTGAAAGTGATTACAGCATATTGAAAGACTGATCAAGGAAAGTATAACTAAATACTTTAGTTCACATTCGAAAGTCCCTGATACCAAATTATTTAGTATGTCAGCTATTTTAGACAGGGACAATTTTTCATAATTCATACAATTTAAGCCTAGAAGAGACCATGAGATCACCCAATCTGACCTCTATGTATCACAGGCTATTACATTTAATTCAGCTAATGTTAGAGTTACTTCATAGTTCATGTTTGACACTATGTTTGTGCCTGATTGCTAATATGAAAATTATACACCTTCTGTTTCTGGCCACTAGCTCCTGTGAAGCATTTCTCTGGTAGATTAAAGAGGTCCTTAATATGCGGCATTTTCTTTCTCTTAAAGTATGTATATACCGTAATCACTCACCAGTTAATTTTCTTTTTTTTAAGTATTTAAACAAATGGGGCATTTTAAAGTCTCTGTCAGGCACAGAATCACAGAAAATGAGGGTGGGAAGGGACCTCAGGAGGTCACATCTAGTCCAACCACCTGCTCAAAGCAGGACCATCCCCAGCTAGATCATCCTAGCCAAACCTTTGTCTAGCTGGGTCTTAAAAACCTCCAAAGATGGAGATTCCTCCGCTTCCCTGGGTAGCCTGTTTCAGTGTTTTACTGCCTTCCTGGTGAGAGTTTTTCCTAATATCTAACCTCAGCTTTCCTCGTTTCAACTTGAGACTGTTGCTCCTCGTTCTGTCATCTGCCACCACTGAGAACACTCCAGCTTCATCCTCTTTTGAGTCCCCCTTCAGGTAGCTGAAAGTTACTATTAAATCCCCTCTCAGTCTTTTCTTCTGTAGACTAAATAAGCCCAGTTCCCTCAGCCTCTCTTCAGAAGTCATGAGCCTCAGCCCCCTAACCATTTTTGTTGCTCTCCACTGAACTCTCTCCAATTTGTCCACATACTTTCAGTAGCGGGGGCCCCAGAACAAAGTAATTGTTCAGAGTACTCCAGATGTGGCCTTACCAGTGCTGAATATAGGGGAAGAATCACTTTCCTTATCTGCTGGCAACACTTCTACTAATGTAGCCCAGTATGCCATTAGCCTTCTTGTAAGGCTTCAGCAAAACCTTGGCTCAGCAAGGGCACATCTCTGAACAGACCTCCCTGCCTCCTCTGGCTTAATGAAGTATCAGTTTCTAAGTAAGTGGGCTGCTTCCTTTCTCTTTACGGAATATGACCAGGTTTGGTTGAGAAATGTAATGCCAAAAATACAACGTTGAGGGAGTTTCAAGGGTAAATCAAGTGACACATACTCCAGGAACACAGGGAGCTTTGCAGGGAGGTTTAACCCTGAGGGGACAACTAGTTGTACATATACCAAAAGTAGTGAAATAAGGTATATCTGTATGGATATCTGTGTTGTAACTGGTGACTGATTTTCTTATTTAATTAGATTTGAATTGTTTTATATGTTCAGTGGATAGGAACAGGATAAAAGGTATAAAATATATGCAAATGTTTTATCCCACCTCGGATATATAAACCCCTGTGCCCATCTTTGTTGCTAACAGCGATTAAAGGCTCTCTATATACTCACTGTACCATTTCTTTAATAAGTACCACATTCAGCAAATCAGAGACAAAGCCAAATCATGCAGGGCTGAGACCCAGCCAATGCAGCTACTCGCAACAGCATGGATATTGCTTAGCATAATGGAAACCGAGACTTGTGGATGCCTTCTATCTAGGGTAAACTTAAAGACCAGTGATGCCCAACTTTTCAGCCTTGTGGATGAATGGCACGGGGGCAGTCTGCTGGCTGATCCTGTGCAGGGTCGGTGTATGGGGTTGGGCACCACATACCCATATCCTGAGCTGGGAGGATCATGTGCCATATCACCTCTCTTGCAGGACTCCTAACAGACCCATAAATTTGGGGGTGTGGGAGTGGTAGCAGCTTTAACTGCTGCTGCCAAATTTCTGGAGCTGGTGGTGGTCCCACCAATCAGATGACATGGGCCCACGGGCCAGGGGTCAAGCACTCCCTACTACAGGCCTGTCACCACTGCAGTATCAGAGTACCTCCAAGCTCTTGATAAATATCTCCTGACCACATCCGTGAGTTAAAGAAGTGCTAATGGATGTATTTAACAAATGGGAGCCTGGTGCCCAGTGAAAGCAAAAGATCACTTAATGCAGTCTGGTTTGGAGCCAGAATTGAACCTGGGTCTCCTGAATCCCACGCTAAGGCTGTAACCTTTGGATGCTCCTTCCTCCTCAGCAATATTCTTCCTCCTGTAATGCCCTGGAACAATCCTGCAACCAATCAGCTTTAAGAAACTGGTACATTCCCATGTAGATCCCTTTGGTATGGAGGACAGGGCAGGTAGGAAGCCTGAAGACAGCAAAATATCAACTAATGAAAAAAAAGACACCTGTCAAACAAGCTTGCTTTTCAGGTTCTGAGATACAGAGACAAGCTATACTAAGCAGATGGCAGTTCAAGAAACAAATGAATGAAGTTCCTGGACGTCCATAAAAAAGTTGTGAAATATCCTACTGTTGGTTTAGGGTTGTGGTATCAAACACAGGTGCATTAAGAAAAACATACAATAAAGAAAGATCAGTTACAGGTATATAATTATGTTAATTTACACGCTCCCATATCCTCTGAAGGAAAACAACTCTCCTTAGGATGTCAACTTGATACCATTACCTGTTATATAGTGTACAGAATTACAAACCCCCGTATCTGTAGTTCTCAACCTTTTTTAGACTCCAGGCTACCCTGGATAGTGTGAGGCACCCCTTAGAAAATGCCAGCTCTTAGTTTTAACTCTCTTTAACTACACAAGAATGGGGTAGTTTTTCTGTTGCAAAGAACTCAAAGACTACAAACTATGGATTTCTATTTGAAATCTCTGGGTTTATCTCGTGAAGCATGTTTGTAAATCTAGTAGTGCCATGGTACCCTGGTTGAAAATCACTGTCTTATATCAACCTGCAAAATGAGTTAGGGAAGAGGAAATGACAGGAGAACATCACTGGACACATTTCAGTATACTAATGTTCTTTTGTGTGTCTAGTGAGAGAGGACAAGTATAACAGATAATAGATAAGCATACCGATGCTCTGGTTCTCGTCATCTTGGTCAATGAAGACATGGTCCATCACAAAGCTAAGGAGTTCAGACTGAAGACCAGAGTCAGGATTAAATACCAAAGGCTGGAGACCCTCCCTGCCTCCAGTCATAAGTTGGTGGCTAAAAATCATCAAGAGATCACAGAGCAGCATGAAAGCCTGAAAGACAAAATAACGCAGTCATACGATTCAAAGCGTCTGCAAATATTATATACTAGAAATATCTCCAGACATTTTGCTCAGACCAACCAGTAATCAATTAACCTACTGTCACAATGAATAATTGTGATGATCTGACATGTATGCTATGTCAGTGAGGGTCACAGAATTTTCAAAATTGTAGTTTTGCACCTCTGGCTTCTATGGGTGCAGACATGTAACACAATTACTATGGTCTAATTTACACTGGGCTTTACTTGTAGTAAATGTACTTTGTAGTAAGGAGTGGTAACATGGGCTAAAGACAGACAGTCAAAAAGCCCAAGGCTAAATCAATTCAATCTTTGCAGGTTAGACTAAGCTTCACAGATTGAACCAATCAGCAAATGAACAGACATTCACTTTTGATTCCAGAAATGCAGTCACATGCATGCTGTGGCCCAGGTCATAAGTCGGGGGGGCGGGGCGGGGGGGAGGAGATGCACGCATGGGCACGCTAAAGCACCCCATGCAATCTGAGCTGGAGCAGACAGCTTGGGCCAAGTTAGCCTGCCCACCCTGCGACAAGGGGGAGGGGGGGAAAGGATTGCAGGGGAGGTGCAAAGTATCCTGGGATGCTGGGGGACTATGAGTTAACTTGAATCTGGAGGGGATCTGGGGCAGAAGTTCAATATACCCATTTAACCTAAATCAGTTAAGTCTGCTACTAAATCCATCCAGGTTTATCTTAAACCAGTTTCAGCCATTTTGGAAGCAGTTTATGTGCACTGAACTTCTGTTGTGTTACAGATTTTGAACCCATTTCCAATCACTTATACGATTTTATGTATAATTTCTGTCCCTAGCCATGATGAGCTTTCCCAAATGCACTCTGCAGGAGGTTTTAGGAGCCGGATTGCATTGGGTAAACTGCCACCCCAGGATAAAACTGACTAAGGAAATAGATGCATTTATACATTCCATGTGGTATCTTTCCCACGTAATAAAATTACTAATAATTTTTCAATGAGTAACTTTACTTGAGATTTGAATGATTTACTACACAGTAAAGGTAATTTACCATGGAGTAAGCACATTGCATGTATATAACCTGTATGTGTTGTTTGACATCTCTGCACAGGCACCAGACACCAGCTAAAAATTGCCTCATCCCCTTCCCCCCTCTGCCTTGTACTCACTAGCTTAAACTTTTAGTTTCTTTCTATTAAAACAAAACCCCTGTAACTTTGTTGTTTTTCTTACAAGAACAAAAGACTGAAAGTATTCCAACCAGATGCTGCATTTAGCTATCTGCAGGGATGATCTGGCAACAATGGCTTCTTCCACAGAGATAGTGACAGACCCCTGCACTGACTCTCTAAAATTCTAGGGGTGTTTCTGTTAATTGGCAACAGAGAAGCAATAGAAACATCACCTAGCTCTTACATACTGACTTTTACCTGTACTTCTCAAAGTTTACGTAAAGTATTATTATTCCCATTTTATAGATATGACAATAGGGTAGACATTCCTCTTCTCAAGGCCAGCTTGGGAGGCTATTGACAGAGTTTGTTTGAGCTCAGTTCACTTGACTATACTGCAGCCCTGAAGTAAAAATGTTAAAACAGGCAGGAAACCTAGATGAAAAGTAGAATTTCACCTTGGTCCTAGTTTTAAAGGAATATAACAAAATTAAAACAAAAACAAAAGTAAAGTTACCTCTCAGAAAAACATAGGCTGGAAAAACTACAGACATCCAAAATTAAACAACATCATGAGAAGACAAACAAATTTGAGGTAGCTTCATAATCTGGAAATAGGCCTAAGTATATTGCTAACTAAGCAAATCATAGAATCATAGAAAATTAGGGTTGGAAGGGACCTCAAGGACTTTAAAACCTCCAAGGATGGAGATTCCACCACCTCTCTGGGTAACCTGTTCCAGTACTTCACCACCCTCCTAGTGAGAGAGTTTTTTCAAATATCCAACCTAAACCTCCCTTGCTGTAACTTGAGACCATTGCTCCTTGTTCTCTCATCTGCCACCACTAACTCCGTCCTCTTTGTAACCCCCCTTCAGGTGGTTAAAGGCTGCTATCAAATCCCCCCTCAGTTTTCTCTTCTGCACGCTAAAGTAGCCCAGTTCCTTCAGCTTCTCCTCAGAAGTCATGTGCCACAGCCTCCTAATCATTTTCATTGCCCTCAGTTGGACTATCTCCAACCTATCCACATCCTTTCTGTAGTGGGGGACCCAAAACTGGACACTGTACTTCAGATGTGGCCTCACCAGTGCTGAATAGAGGGGAGCAATTACTCCTCTTGATCTGCTGGGAACACTCCTACTAATGCAGCCCAGGATGCCATTTGCCTTCTTGGCAACAAGGGCATACTATTGACTCATATCCAGCTTATTGTGCACTGTAAACCCCAGGTCCTTTTCTTCAGAACTGCTGCTTAGCCAGTTGGTTCCGAGCCTGTACCGGTGCATGAGCTTCTTCCATCTGAAGTGCAGGACTTTGCACTTATCCTGTATTGAAACTCATGAAATTTCTTTTGGCCTTGAGTCTTGCTCTGAATTTACATCCCAGCAGCAATTCTGTGTAAAGTAATGCTGATAATTCTATATAGCTGCCTACATATGTTCCAGATAAAAAATTACAGAAGGCAGCTATGGAAGCTTACATTCTTGGACAAAATCTAACTCAGCCTGTTCTTTAATATGCAAATTTGTCAATGATTTATGCATGCTACTTTTAGGCAATGACTTTCTGGAAACAATGGATAGCTTGGTTATTAGTAACTAGGTCTGTCAAGGGGACCTCTCTGTTTCCACACTGGGGAGGAACACTAATTCCATGGTGGCTGAATCCTGGAATCTCATAGCCAACTGCGTTCACTTAGAATTGCAGAATTCCTGTCTTAGCTGTTGTTGTAAAATGGCTCTCCCAAACTTACCACCTGAACAGGAAGTAAATCCAGGCACCAATTCCACAGAACATTTCTAGTCAGCATAGCATTTGAACACATACTTGAAATCACATTGATTTCAATAGGATTTAAAGATTGCACTTGCAGTTAAATGCATACTTATATGCTTTGCTAAATAAAGATATATTCTCACACACTTAAATGCTTAGTTGAAGTGGGGATGCAGTGCATAGTGCTAAGTGAATGTGCAAATGACTATGAATCTCCAAAATTAATATATTTCTAACGTGCATTACAGAAGTGTCCTTATCTGTGTGGGGTATACTGCTAAGGCTTACATTAAAGAAGCTGTGACTTTAGCTAAAGCATAGCACAGATCACTATATACCATGATCTACTCCAAGAACCTTCAGAGTGAGGCGACAATTCTCTTGGCTTTAATCTCCATTGGACACTATTGGTCAAGGCAATTTCCTAAATACTTAAGTTCTATTTACATATACGCTATCTTCCTGTTTAACATATAAGGGGTTCTCCTACTTTCCCCTGAGTAGTCATGTTGTTTAGGGAGCAATACCCACAGCAAGACAGTATGGTTCACGTAGAAATCTCTTAGCACTTCAGCTAAAGCCTTAGGAAGAAGTCCATAGACACTACTATCCTTTTGAAAGAAAACAGCAAAAATGAATATGGCATATATTAAATGGATTAAAAAACAGCCAGCAGATCAATCCCAAAATACATTAACTTTGAGGAATCATTCATGATGATGGATCTGGTCAAGTCCTGCAGGAAGCAGCTGTTGGCCCAGTCCTATAAAGCATCTCTATTAACTATCTGGAAGAAAGTATAAATCACTGCTAATGAAGTTTGTGGATGACAGAGACTTGGCAGGATGGCAAGTAATGATCAGGTCAGATCACTGATACAGAGCAATCTGGACTGCTTAGTAAGTTAAGGTACAATTAAACCCAGATTCTTTGTAGCGCTAGTATCCTAACCCGTAAGGGTTTGCAACCAGCTCTGTGTGGGCGTGGATGTATTTTGATCGATTGCTGAGGTTTTATTTTAAATGCAGCACTTCTCTACATCAGCTACATGAAACTTTTGACAAATTCCAGGTGACTGGAGAAGTGGTGCCCCTTACAGTAAAAGCTGCAGCCAACAGCTGAGTGGTTTACTCTTAATCTAGCAACCACTGCTAACTAAGCAGATTGCAAACTATCCAGATGCAAAAAAATCTGGGTCCTACTGTACATAACAAATGCAGGATAATGCATCAAGGAATCCAGGTCACAGTTACAGGCTATGAGACACTATTTAGGAAAAGGACTGGCAGTTTAGGGAACCAACTGGAGTATTAGCACCCAATGAAAAGCTGGGAGAGTAAAAAGGGGTAATGTAATCTTTGGTTGCAGTTATACGGGAATATCCATAGGAGTAGGGAGGTGGCAGTATTCTCTGCATATGCCAATAGTGAGACTGCTTTTGGCATATTGTGTTTTGTCTACACTTTGAAAGCATTGGGAAAGATTCCATGAATAGTCACAAGAATGAACTGATGTTTAATACCTGGAGTTCAGTCACTCTTCTGATGCAGGTGACAGTCAGTGAAAACAATTTTAAGGAATGGATGTATTCACTTGGGTCTTAAAGGGACATCACAGTTTAGTGAGGCCTAATTTCCAGTCTCATATTGGAGTGGACTGTCTAACTGTAGATAAGGAATTAAGTTGGACCTTTATGAAACAGTGGCATGACTAGGTAACTTGAGTCCATCCAGAGGGTTGTCCCAGGCCAAGGTGTCTGACAAATAGTTTGGCTGAGGAGATTAATATTTTAGATGTCAGGACCAAGAGGCAATCGAAGAACTGAGAGGCTGGTGCTTTATCTGGCTGTCCATATAGACTGCCCTCTCTTGCCAGATACCCTTCCCAGTGCAGGTATGTATATACAATGATTGAGTGACCACCAACCTTCTCTTCAGTGTACAAAATAGACTGAAATTCTTTAGTCTCTTATTTTAAGGCACATTTTTCAAACCTCAGGTCATTCTTGTGACAATCTTCTCCATGTTTCTTTACAGTATTTTGTGGCTGCAGGTTTCATTTTTTGTAAATAGGATATCTTGTACCACACAGAAAAAGATAGATCGGTGTTTGTCTGGTGGAGGGAGACCAAGGTAGGTCTGTGTTGTTGTGTTAGTAGGGAATGGGGGTAGATGGTTAGATAGGGTGGATGGCAGATGGTAACAAACGTAAACTTAGAGATTCAGAACACCTAAAAACATTGCATCTAAGATGATTAGGCTGATGGAATTGAATCTTTTTGATACAGTGTGGTTGAGTAAAACCGAAAAAAAGGAATAAAGTAGGCCTCTGGTCATAGAGCCACTCTAATTAAAGCACCCGCAGCATCTCATGTATCAGCACCTCTCCGCTTCAAAATGGTGGGGGCACTTTAACTAAAGTGTGTAAAATGAGCTTTAGTTAAAACATGCTCATCACCATTTTGAAGTGTGGGGATGCTGATACACAAAATGTGGAGGCTACTGGAGGCATGCTAATTAGCATGCTCCGTTACAGTGCATCGGAGCAGCTTCCCCACACGCCTACAGGCACCCTCCATGCCTGGAAACTTTCAAGAGCAGGTTACACAGACATTTGACTGGGCTGGTTTAGCCTTCAGCAGTGATTGGAAACCAGTTTAAATCTGTAACACAACAGAAATTCAGGGCACATAAACTGTTTTCAAAATGGCCGAAACTGGTTTAAGGTAATCCTGGATGGATGTAGTATCAGACTTAACTGATTTAGGTTAAATGGGTATCCCGAACTTCTGTCCCAGATCCCCTCCAGATTCAAGTTAAACCACAGTCCCCCAGCATCCCAGGATGCTTTGCGCCTCCCAGTTGCAGGATGGGTGGACTAGCTTTGGCCAAAGCTGTCCGCTCCAGCTGAGCCGGGAGGTATGCTTTATGCCCCCATCTTCTGGCCTGGGTCACTGCAGGCATGTGGCTGCATTTCTGGAATCAAAAGTGAATGTCTGTTAGCTTGCTTATTGGTTCTATCTACACAGCTTAGACTAACCTTAGGCTTTCTGACTGCCTGTACTTCGCCACAGTGGTTATCAAAGATATTCAATGAAAATAGTAATGATACAGGATTTTAAGTAGCAACTAGTAAAGTTAAACATTTTAAGTCTGCAGGGGAAAGAGCACCATTCATCCAAGAATTTTTAAATAATTAGTTAAGGAGGTCTCTGAGCCATTTATGTTGACACTTAATAAATCTTGGAACACTGGAAATCTGACAGGACTATAAAAAAAGGTAATATTTACTAATATTTAAGGAAGCTAACTATGAGCTGGTTAGCCTGGTTTCAATCCTGGACAAAACCCTGCAAATTCCTGATATGGGAATGCAACCAGAGAAAAATGAAATGGTGGCAGCAGACAGTACAAATTGGTTTAGTTTTCATGGAACACTGGTCTTATCAGATGGAATTGATAATGTTTTCTGAATATACTGCAAGCCATGTTGATAAAAAGATATATACTTTATTTTATTTCTGTGTTTAAAATAGCATATACTAGCACTGTCCACCTGTTAGGCAGGTGGGGCATTTCCCAATATTTAGAATACGATACTGGATAGTCACACTAAAGCATGAAAATCTGCTGCTTAGCCATACAACTACCATTCATACAGACAAAGTATGAACAAATGTGTACTTGCAGCAGCTTCAAAAGGGGAGGGGGAGCTGCTGCTCTGAGCCAGACAGCAGCTGTAACTGTTAGGTATGCATGAGGCTGCAGTGATACAAGTGCAGCAAAACCATTCTAACTTTAAGCCTCCATACAGTGTCAAAGCTGGGGTGAGTTAGTTCAGTTGTATCACTGCAGTCACATGTATAAAACTACTGCATGGTACCCTCCTCCAGCCCCAATCAATTTGCTTGGAGTTGCAATGAGATCAGCTTTGAGAACTAAAATAACTCGCCAAATACAATTCTTGTACATTTTGTGATTTTAGTAAGTAGATCTATCTGAAGAAAAACATTCTTCAGAACGACATGTCTGCTTCTAAAGAGAGAAATTTTTGCACAGCAACAGTTGAGCTTAAAATCTTACCGGGCTTCTGGGAATTCTTCAATTATAAGAAAAGAACTGCTAGTAGGAGATGCTTCTCGTGTTGGGGCAGCGTATAATACTATCTTGCTGAAACTAATGTCTTGCAACACACAAAATACCTGAGTTCTCTATTACTCTCCCAGGCTAGGTACATGCACAAAAGCAGGGTATTATCCCAGTATGTACCACTAGGATATTGTGTTTTATTGAATACAAAACATGAATTATTGTTCCACTCTAAACAATCAATTAACAATGTCATGTTTTCAGTACAGTTATACCAAGGCTGATTTTTATTCTGACTGTATGCCATGATACTTGGAGCCTTTATTAATGTTTGTTCAGTGTCTGGACAAGGACAGCACACAGCTAACTGTTTAATCACAAGCTTTGTGTAACAAGTGCCTTTTTCAGTCTTACTATGGTTCAATAATCAAACTTCTGTAAAGAGCATGGGGCCATCATTTCTTTTACCTGTTCTTTGACTGAAGTGTGGACACTTGACAGACATTGCTGGCAGACAGCCAGAAAGGATTTCACAGTTTTCCTCAAAACCAGCAAATCTTCCTGAAATAAACATTAAAATAGGGATAATATTATTTAAATATTAATAAGAGTTTGTCAGGACAAGCAAAAGAAAAAAGAGGGGGCAGATAATTACATACCATTCAAGTCTATACCTTGCCAAGCAAAAATGGAGAGCCAATTAAATGAAAACGCGGAGCAATCTAGGAAGGGATAGCCTTTTTGTTGCTTGTTGAACACTTAACACAATGGGACCCTGATCCTTGGCATGGGGCTGGCAATCAGTCATACATGTCATTTTAATAATAGACAATAACATACTACATATTCCTGGGATTTTATGAAATATAGATATCAGTTATAATTACCCAAATGTTTATATTTAGTTATACTTTGAAAATTTTTAATAGCAAAGTTAAACCTGTTTGGCAGGTTTCCAGAATTTTGGACTGTTCATTCAGAATGAATATAAAAAGTCTTTTTAATACAAATAACAGTTGTTCACCCTGTCTGGAGAAAGGAAAGCATGGAAGCAAGCTTGCTCTGTAAAAAAAAGTCAAAACACTGAAACCTGCTGCGATACTATCCAAGGAGTAGAAATTAATGATTTGGGGAGCAGGGAGGTCTGGATGACTGGAGAAGCAAAGATTCTTTGGGAATACATGACAGGAAGATGAGTAGGTAAACCGACTGATCCAGGAAAACTGGATTTGGATAACAGGACCAATGGATTCAGATGGGCTCTGCACTTACACTGTGATGTTTCAACTTGTAACTTTTTAAAGACTCATTCAGGAATAACAAGGAAAGTCAGCAAAATATTTAAAAATGAAATCAAAACAAAGCATGGGACACTGAAGCATAATGATAAGAATACAGAAAACAATCTTATACAGGTGAAAAGGGAAGTGTATCCATCTTATAACAAAGATACATGTTTAAAATGTACCCAGTCTTTTGGTTGTATTTGAACATTCTTTTGCTTAAAATTTAACCCCGCACACCAATGTTCCCTCTAAGGAGCAGCAGTCTTTGAGCGCGCCGCCTCGGTCCAGCCTGGGACACTTACTGAAAGGGGCTGAGGGCTAGAGCCCACACAACAACAAAATAAAATCAAAACATTGAAATTTCTAGGATTTGCTTTTTTAATTATCTGACAGCTTTTCTGTGAGAATTATATTCCAGACCTTTGCCAGCTAGTAATCTGTCAGGTTTTCTGACATCATCCAGAGGTGACCCAAATAAATGGCAGATGACCTGTTACTGCCATTAGAGAAGCAGGCTTCTCTGAGGCTCTTTATTTCCCACCACTGTTATATAATCATCTTCTTTATTGGAGACTTATATAGACAAGGTAGAAGCTCTTTCACAAACTTGGAATCACCACTCAAAGGAGCTTTCCCTTCCTAAAAGATGTCCACTTTCCACCTTGACTTTACATAGGCTAAATAATTTAATTAAGTGATTCTTGCGTTAAGCCTAACAACTTTTTGAACTGTAGGCATGTCCTTTGCAGAGGCATGGGTTCTTAATCAAAATAATTTAAATATGAGTTTAGATATGCAAATCCACCATGCTACTTGCTAAACTGTTCCAATTATTGATTACCCTTACAGTTAAAAGCATGATCTGGAGCTTTTTTGACTGCAGCTTTTTGTCAATGGATCTTGTTATGCTTTGTCTGCTAGAAAAATGTCTAAAAGTGTCAGACAAGGTTCCTTGGGTGAATTTGATATCTTTTATTAGACCAACCCAAATGGTTGGAGAATAGTTATTAAGCAAGCTTTCGGGTTCAAAAACCCTTCATCAGGCTAAGGAAGTGTCAGCAGTTGGTGTGTGCTCTTCCTGGATGGAATGAAAAGTAAAGAAGCCAGGGGCTGGGCTGGGCTGGGGAGTCAGTTGCCAGGCAGATTATAATGTATCAAAAATCCAATGTCATGTTTAGTCCATGATCTCTAGTATCAGCAGGTTGATGAAATGGAGCTCTTAGGCTCGTCTCTGGGAAGTGTTGTGTAAGTTTCCCTTGAGGATCAGGACTGAGAGATTGGAGAGAGAGTGGCCCCGGTGGGGGCACATTTCTCACAGGAGGGCCACTCTCTCTCCAACCTCTCAGTCCTGATCCTCAAGAGAAACTTACACAACACTTCCCAGAGATGAGCCTAAGAGCTCCATTTCATCAACCTGCTGATACTAGAGATCATGGACTAAACATGACATTGGATTTTTGATACATTATAATCTGCCTGGCAACTGACTCCCCAGCCCAGCCCAGCCCCTGGCTTCTTTACTTTTCATTCCATCCAGGAAGAGCACACACCAACTGCTGACACTTCCTTAGCCTGATGAAGGGTTTTTGAACCCGAAAGCTTGCTTAATAACTATTCTCCAACCATTTGGGTTGGTCTAATAAAAGATATCTAATTCACCCAAGGAACCTTGTCTGCCTATGTCCTTAGACCAACACGGCTACAACCCAAACCCCTAAAAGTGTCAGACATCTTTTCCATGGGTATGTTCATGATCAATTTTTTTCTTCACATTCTCTTAGGTAAACCAAATCTATTCTACTTCTTTATCATCTCTTTAAAAAGACAAGTGTGCAAGGCCACAAATTAATTTTAGGTAAATCTCTGAATCCTTTCCAGCTTTTCAATAGACTTTGGAAATGTGGTGTACAGATCTGGACACCATACTCCAAAAACAGTCTTATCAGTGTCATGTATCCAGGTCATATGACCTTCTTCCTCCTACTCAGTGTTCCTTGCTAATATAATCAGGGTGGACTAAGACAGCACTAGGCACCTCATTCCACTTATGTGTGGAACATAAAATTGTGGTAGCCCCTTTGGTCACCACATACCACTGGGAACTCACATTAAGTTAGTGACAATGGCCCCTAATACCCACTAACGAGCAGATCCTACTCCCCCTCTTAGATGCCAACGTGGATTTAAGCACACAAGTATAATCCTATTCCACCCTGTTTGAGTCCTTAAGAATCCATTGATGCATCTATTTTTGTAACACGCTGTCACCTTAGCCTTAAAATGAAATTGCAAAAAAGCAATGAGGAGGGGGAAGGCCCACCCAACTTTTGAATGAACAGCTTTTAGGAATTCAAGCAGGATGGAACAGGATTGTACACTGAAAAACACTCAGGCACCTAACAGATGGAACAGCATCTGGCCCCAAGTGCTCTTCTGAGTAACTGCTTTCCAGGACATCTGCATTCTTGTTCCTACATGCATGTCCTACATGCAACAGCTGAGAACAGATCCCTCTCTGATCTAACTAGAAGCAACTGCACTGTATGATGATTCCTCATGTATAACTAGCTTTTTATCTTTTGGGTTACCAGTTTTTCAGCCACTGAATGTGGATCATGCTGAGTTTATATATTCTGACTTATTTAATCAGTGTGTTGTTTGGTTCTAATGTCTTAGAGGAGACAATATTCGACTATATTATGTCAACATTCAATTTTATTAGCTAAATATACAGTCTAGTTAAGAACAATAACAAACTTGTTTATTTTTCTTGAAAATCATATTAATTGGCATACATTTTGTTTTTTTTCCCTTTAACTCTACTGATCTAGTCCTGTACCAGTCATGCCAAGCTTTTGCTTGTGATTCTTTTCATCCTGACATATCCCTTGTTACCTGGCTCTTCCTGCTTCCCTCTTTAAATACTGCCATGATACTGACTTCACTGAAGTCCTATCTTTTTTTATCTTTCCATATTTATGGAGCCATATTTATCTTTCATATGAATGCTCATAAGCTCAGTACAGGGCCTGAAGGCTATAACATTTTGTTTTGTTTTTCTTTCCTGACACTTTTCCAGTAGGGGAAAAAGGCATGACCCCCTCCCACCCACCGCATGCACAGAAGTCTACTTCCATCTCCAGTCTCATTTTGTGGCCACAAAATGCAAAAGGAAAAATAATGTCCAAGATTTTTATTATTATAATCATGTTTCCTCACCCAGGTTCTAGCCTGGGCACTTGCTCCCAAAGGGGCAGAAACTTTCCCACTGCTATCCATTCATTTTAGGTGCAGCGCATCAGCACCAAGGGTAGGCTGGATAAGGGCCTGTATAACGCCTAACCTGTGGCTTTATGCTGGCAATACAAGTTCAAACATCTTGTTGAGGAGCTGAACCTAGGTCTCTCTTCCTGGGTGAGGGAGAGCTGCTGCTCTTGTTTCAGCCTCCTCTATTATGTTTCCAGCAGGTGGGTGTGAAGAGCAATTGTATGTCTCCTTGTACTGGAGCAGAATCCAAAACTGCGTGTATGTGCCACAAATGGCACCTATGTGGCCAGATAATTGCCCTTTAAGCATGTAAAGTAAAATAGGATGCTGCCTTGTGCATATTTTCCTTTCTGTCCTATTTTGGTCCCAAGGTAGTTGCTTGAAGAAAAGTGGAATAATTTCACTGTGTCATCCCCCTCTTTGTGCACATGAAGATCTATTCTGAGAACACCTAAATAAGGTTTGTAGATAGTTTTGAAAGCTGTGAAGTTGGTGACCTTTTCTGTCTCTCTGGGAATGAGTTCCAAATGTAGGACTCTCTCCCTGGTCAATAGTTCCATAATTCTGGTGGAACACAGCTGCTACAGGAGATCATGGTCACAGAGGAAAAGGCAGTCTCTTAAGTTATCCTGGGACAATGCCATGGAGGTTCTGAATAGTAAGACAAAGATCCTGTATTTGGCTCTGTATGCGAGAATGAGTCAATGCAGAGGGTAGAGCACTTAGGCAATGTGTTCATAGCAGTCTGTATTACCCAACAGATGGGTTTCTGCATTTTTTTATTAACTGAAGCTTATTTTGTCTGTTTGACTTCATTACCACATTTAACAGGCCGTCACAGTTAAACCTAAAAGATAATGATAGTACGCATTACTTTGGCAACATCTGGGTTGGATAGGATGGAATTGGATCACATAACTGAACTGACTAATTCCTAATGCTTTCTGGTCTGTGGTAATTCCAACCCATGACAAAAGAACATTGGCAAAATCGTTTCCAAAAGGAGGGAAAGGCAGACAACACCCCAAATCTGATGCCTTGCAGACACACATAAGCAGGGAATGCTCCAGCTGGTCTCAACTCAACATGTTTATGCAGCTTTCTGTTGCTGGCAAGGCTGGGGTTTATGGAAAGATACGCAGAAATCACCAGATGAGTGGTGTTATCTCTGGTGCTGCAATGAAGAAAACATAATGCTCCTATTCATCTGATCAGGCAAAGCAAAACTCAGAGAATCTAAAAGTACATGCACATGTTACATTTTTAGAGCCCTTCTAGTGCTAGAAAAAAAGTAACTGTGCACAAATTCACCCAGTGGCTTGCCTCAAAAATGGCAGATCTGTCAAAAAAGGTCCCCTTTCAAAGAGGAACTAACTTCTCTGTGGCACTGAAGAGATCCCTCTCACAGCAGCCAAAATCTGGCTGGCCTTCAGAATTTTGTAGCACTAATAATGAATGTGCAAACATACCTTATGTAGTATCTGTGCCATTCTGGAGGTAAATGCAAACCACCATTAAAATAATAATAATAGTTCCACTCTTGTATTTTTAGTATCATGCATATAGACAGGGAAAATTCCAAGGATTAAAACAGAAAGATTAGAAGCACCTAAAACCAAAATGTTAATTAGGGCTTCTAAGTATAGAATTAACTTATATTGCACATGATCTCTCAAAGAGTGATAGGAATGCAAAACACTCTTTGATTTAAAGCAGTTAAACATATGAATTGGTAGGTTAGACTAAGATTAAACTAAAAGTAAAAATTACAGGGAGAAAATCGTGGAAATTACTGGGAGTCCTCCACACTCCTTTTCCTGATTCTTTTTAATGGAGAAACAGCATGGCATTCCCTCTTTGCAGCTGACTTGGAAGTACAAGCATTTCATATAGGTTTAATTCTGTGGAATGTATTCTGAAAAGTCCTGAAAACAAGAAATCCCTAGGTTTTGCTTCAGCAAAAGAGTTAAGATAGGGGACAGAAACATAAAAGCAATGAACCATTCCAAAATGTCATTGGGTTGGGAAACAATTTGAAATTATTGCAGGACAGGGTACAGACACTTAATAACTGAACCATTCCCAAATATTATTGATTAGGACCTGGCACAAAATTGAGTAAAGTGCTCTGGCTCCAACAGGAGGGCTAGGAGTGAGCACCCAGACCAGCATGCCTCACAGTGAATGAGTGTGAGGGGAGTGCCTGTACCCATGCTTTGGGTGACCTGTGATCAGGAGAACTTTCCCACCTCTCCTAAGCATGAGTTCAATAAAGGTCAGTAACCTGAAACTGACAGAAATCTGCGGTGTGCTTGCCTGACTTGGGCCGGGTGAAATGCTTGGACCTGTATTTTTTGGTTCCCAGCGGTTCTGGGGGGTGATGAGGGGCTATGGTCGAGTAGGGAGTGAGGATACAGCTCACCGTGAGAAAGATCACGTTTATTGGACAAGCAGGGCAAGGGGGCTCAAACAAAAGGGAAAAAAGGGGCAGAAGAGTTCTGTCTGCATACCAGAGCAGCCAGGGCAGCAGTAGGGGTGAGGAGTCACTGCTGATGCCTAAAATACCAACCAGACCTGTCTTACAGAACATTTGGTGCCCATGCATAACCCTGAACCATTCATATTGAGCTAATTCAAAACAGTACTTGATTTTCCACGTACACTTTTGAACCGTTCTGGTGGATTCAAACCAGTTCAACAGGCTTGTATTCTAACTACTTCAGGTTTGGAACATGTACAGACATATGAATTACCATTTACTGGGTCAGACCATAGGTCCATCATGCCCAGTATCCTGTGTCACACAGTGGCAAAGAGCGGATGCTGAAAGGGAGAGTGAACTGGTATGACTCCATTTAAACCATTCTAAGTGTTGTATGGCCCATGCCCATAAGGTATAGGAAAAAAATGGAAGGGTGAGAGACTGACATATAATATAGTTATAGTGTACCCCCCACCCTATTAAAACTGTAACTTCGACTGCTAGCGAATTTACAACTGCCCCTAGAACACTAAAGATAAAATTAAATGACAGGAAATATAAATTACATATCATTACATTTATATAATTATGTAAGCATTCCATGACCAGCAATGGTACAAATCAGTGTCATTGCCCAAACTGTCATGTATACTCATTCGGTATATATTTTATCCCTAACACAGGCCTCTGTGACCTTGATGAAGTGGATTACATGACTTCATAATTCAAAAATCAACATAAAAAAGGGACACAGAGAATGAGGTCCAATGCATCTAGTGTTTAAGCAAATTCAAATTCTTCAGGAACAGCTGCCTAGGCAGGAACAACCATTACTTACTTTCGAGGGAGAGCCTTCAGTGATCTTCACCAGCTGCCAGAGAATTGAATAATGGGAACACTGCAGTGCCTGAACAACTATCTGCAACAGAGGGAACACAAAGAATCCCAAAACACTGGAAACATCAGGGGCAAGTCTAAAATTTAGCTGAAAATCAGAAAAAGGCAATAATAGTTCCCACTTGGTGCTTTTCATTTTCAAAGATACAATCTTAACTATTGGCTAATTCAGTGAAATTAAGGAGCAGTTTACCTCCTCTGTTGGTAAAAGTCTGAATGTATGCAAAAACTTAGCAGAGAGATAGCCTTATCTGTAAGACCACAATGGAAGAACATGACTCAGCCTCTGTGCACTTCCATGCACACATCTGTTTGAATCTGTTTGGTAAACTGGCAATAAGACAGCTTGGAAACAGGCTGCATACAGTCACTTAGCCCAACTTGTAATCAAAGTGAAAATGCAGATTCTCTCAGGAGATGACAGTTATAACATGAGTGCCACCAAACAGAGAGATCAATGGGATATGCCTCCTTAAATTTTCTATGGATTACAGGTAGGAGTAAGAAATTTAACCTGTGAATTTTTCTCAAAATACTGTGTCAACCATTGCCTGATGCCTCTCCCATCCTGCAGCTGCACGAAACAACAGAGGGTGACAGAGCTCAGAGCTGTCTTGCTTACAGCCCCGTCTTCCATGTGGACATAGAGAAGGGTATAGAAGTCAGCCTTCCACAAGGAGAACTGCAATGAGCAGTTCTGGCAAACGAGCCAAGAAGTAGGGAATGAAGCTATTGAGGAAGCAATTCCATCATCTCATCTTTGAGCTTCTAACCTAACCCACCTTTGGAATATAGTTTTCCAAAGAAAAAAAAAAAACCCTTTGTGAATAATAGGAATTTCTCTTTCCAATGCGTCATTGCTAGGGAATACTTGAACTAAATTTCCACTAAATTTCAGGTGGAAATTTTTTTCCTTGTGAAAAATTGGAGGGAGTGTTTAGCAGCAGGGTTTCTAATTCACAGCCACCTTACATGAGAATTCTACCCCAAGAAAAACACAGCTATTAAATCAAAACCTTTGCCACAAAACCTTAATGAAGTGAATACCTTCCTTCATACATTAAAGTTATAGTTCATATTCTACATCATGGATATATGACCAACATTTTGCAGGTATTTGTTCAAGGCAAGAAAAGATGGCTGAGATTTATGTTAGGTAGGAGAGATGTGTTAGGAAAAATAATCAAAACTACTGCTCACATTTTGTTACTTCCTAGCTTTTAAGAACACCCATGTTACCTCCAAAATAGAAGACTAGTTTATGGTAATTATAACTGTAATGAAGAATTATACTAGTATGGCCACTAATATAATCATAATTGTACCTAATACTTACACAGGACTTTTCATAGTTGAGTATATAATATAATTTCCATTTTATAGCTTAGGAAACTGAGACAGAGAAGGTAAGTGGCTTAGTTACAGTAGCACAATGAGTCTGCTTTAGAGCCAAGAACAGAATCCAAATTTCCAACTCCCAGACCTGTCTCTCACCACAATAAAAGTTTAATTAAAACCCCAAATTAATTTAATTGCGTGACTAAAATTTATGATTTAAACAGTGGTCTTAGAAAATTAAAGGCTAATGCATAACCTTGCTGTGCCTCCCTGTGATTTTCCTTTTACAAAGCTTAATTCCCCCAAGTGATACAATGCACATGTTGCTAACTGTACCTGTTCTGGCATAGCTCCATGCTCAATTCCAGTCCTCAGTAATCTGTAGCAGTTACTAAACAGATCCCATTTTGTGAGATCATGAGCACTAAAACAAGAGGTAATAAAGGCATTAGCTATGTTCCTCAAAAATCCAAGTTACAACAGCTGGTAGCTCAATAAGCAGGCTGGTATTCGTTTGCAATGTTAAAACAAGAGAATGCTTTGAAAAGGCAGCTGCACAGTTTACATAACAATAAAACCTGACCATGTGCTTTTTTGTAAACTAGGAAAATGTTTTACCACCAGAGATTTTTATAATGCAGATATTAATTTAATGAACAATGACCTCTTTAAAAGGTTAAGTAGGAGTATCTGAACTATGGTCAATCTGTTGCTTTTTGATATTCATTCAAAATTGGTTCTCTTTTTTTATTCTAGACACTGACAGAACTTCAGCAGGCATTTCTCTGCCATTGTAACTTCAATTTAACACCAATAAAATATATTAAATTAAAAAAAATATTTTAACCAAAGTAAATTTTGGTATTTTATCTAGTTATTTGAAGTAAAATAATATATTTAATTTTAAAATGTTAAAACATTCTAAAATATCTAATATAAGAGCATGAGATCTGGTCTGTGGAGAGGAAGAGGGGTAATTAAAAGAGTTCATGAGACTTGCTACTTTATATAAAATCATATGGACTTGCACCTGATAGGTAACCATACTGTGCAGATGCCTGCACCTATGCAGAACCCCAGTGATTCCAGTGATTTAATCTAACTTACAGCTTTATTGCTGAAGAACTGCTTGTTACCATATAAACTGCCGTCAAAACACTGATAGTAACTAAGACTGGGGGGAATCTGATTTTGAAAATACTTCAAGGTTTCAGAGTTTGTTTTCATTCTTCAGTGGAACAAAGCTATGACCATCTGAACTTTTTGGGGAAGAAAATCATGAGACAGAAAGCAAAGCTAGAACAGTCAATAGCCTTGTGGTGGATCATCTACCTATCATGTGGGGGGCTCAAGTTCAAGTCTCTGGCTTAAATCAGGGAGAGTAAAACCTTGATCTTGGCTCCTACACATCACAGATGTGAGCAAATAACCACCAGGCTACAGTTAATCGCTCTGACTGGAGCTGTTCCACTTTGCATAAATAATTAAATTTACATTGGGCGAGAAAGACCAAGACTCAGGCCCCTGGCACATGTTCACACTTAATGGCATGATGGAATCTGTTCCCTAATTGCTCATCCTTCCATATGTGCATGAGAGGACGCACGATTTTGGGGTCAGAGATTAGATCCCACACGTGCCACTACAACCTGCCAGGCTTGGCAACTCACATAGAGATTTGTCACCATACAAAAGTTGTACCTCTTTAATCGCACAAACACAATATTGTTATAGCAGTATCATCCTCCTAGTGGGCAGTATAATTTATTCCCATAGGGATGGTAAAAGGGAAAATCCTGTCTTACCTCTGAATTTTCAGTCTAGAACCCTTCATGTCAGACAGTCTTCACAGTGAGATTTCTGTTCCCCATCTTCATGGCAACTGGTGGTAGATCTGATCTGTGCTCTGAACCTGGACTTAGAACTGCCCCTCAGGAAGAGCTCTCCAGAATGACAGCTTCCAAAGCTGAAAAATACTAGCTATATAATATATATTTCAAGAGCCACTGAATGCTAACCCTCTCTAGCTGAGCCCTGAAATGACAATCAGGGGTTTCCTGGAACATTCTCTTCCTTTCAGATTAGTCAAAAAGCAAGCAATAGCCTGAGGGATGGGATGGGGGAAAAACTAGACATAATGTCTCCAAGGGGAATACAGACTGTCCGACATGGAAGGTCCTGGAATGAAAATACACAGGTTAGACAGAATTTTTCCTCTCTCAGCCCCCTCCATGTCAGAGTCTTCACTGTGGGATGTCAAAAACAATAAAGGGTGGAAGGAGGATTTACTTTACCCGTGAAGATTGTAAGGTGTACTGGGGCATCCCGTGGTGCAATTCTTTTCCACAAACACTGTATCAGAATGTATGAAGATATTAATTCCACAGTGGCTGAAAATGTATGGCAGGACAAGTTTCTGTAGCAGCTTAACAGGGTTCAACTCTTCACCCATATATTGACCATTGTTTTCATAGTGAGAGAAGTTGTACCCAAGTGTACGGATGCTTCTTTCACATACACTTCATTCTTCGGTAGGGTCTGTCCACATCTAACTTCCGCACTTCTATTTCTTGAGGATGTTGTTGGGAGAGCAGCAATACTACTTCTATATGATGACATGTGTTGTGAACTTGGAGTCGGAGGCCTGGTCAGATCATCTGACCAGGCCTGTCAGAACATCTTTGTTCTGACCATCTTTGTCAGAACAAGTAACTTAAGGTTTCATTGAGAACCTTACAAGCTCTGAAACCTCTTTGGATAAAGGATTAGCAGGTGGATACAATACTGCCGGAGAGAGGAACACACCTACACACTGGCCGCATCTACATGTGCACTTTAATGACCATTAGCCTTTTCATGTACATTAAAGTGTTACAAGGAAACTGTGCACTTTCACTAATGCGCATTAAAATAGGCTAACGTGCCCTTTTCTAGTACTTCACAATGGAGGTACTAAATTTATTGTGCATTAAAGGGATTTACTAGAACTTTTAGCTCACAGATCAAAATTATGACAGGAACCTGTATACTGCTAGAAGACTGTAAGAGTGTCATCAGGAATTTATGTGAAGGTGATAAGAGATTTCTATGGGATTCCTACAATGCACCTACAATGTAGTACGCATCCAAACACTGGCTTGTCCTTCCAAAAAGCCCTGGTTCTGAAGCCCACAGTCAGGTCATCTTGTAAAGCCACCAGAGTTATACTTGGTTTCAACTGAATTTAACCTGATATCCATCCCTTGTGACATCAATATCTAAAATCTTAAAGATGTATCCTTATTATTTGTGAATTTCCTTTGAGAAGCTAGGAGGATACTTATCAGTTTCTTGAAATAATCAACCAAAGTTTCTTCCTTTCAGTTCTTTACTGACAGGCTAGGCAGACAGCTTTTTGTTCAGCACAGATCATTGTTGAACCATTTTTTTTTGAGTATGTTGTGAGTTTGACAGGAGATTCCAGGTACTTTTAAATCAGACCTAAAAACTAAAACCTGAGGGTTAATGTGAATGAGATTATAATCAATGTGACCTTTTCCTTCAGGGTCATCTTCACCATCTTGATTTTCAATAGCCTATTTTTGAAATGAAGGGAATGCAGTCTCTACTTATTAGCATCTCTTCCTCATTTAGTACCTCTTTTTGTTTTTCAACTGGACTTGGATGCCCAAAAAAGGTCATTAGATCTTGACCATTTTCTTTGCCCTAAGCGTCTTACTGAGACAACTGTCAATGCTTCTCTTCACTGACAGAGTCATGCAAAATACAGCACTCTGCCCACAACGTGAACAAGCATCTTTCTCAAAGCAGTGCTGAAGGCTCATTGCCTTCTTAGCAGCTATGGAGGTGTTGCATTTATGGACCACTACCTAGAAATTAGAAAATGAACTTGACTGTCCATAGCACGTGACAGACAAAACTTTATGGTATGGGTTTCAAAAGTCTAGCTTGCCGGCTGGATCTTGCCGGGTGATCTGGTCTGCAGACTTTGATCCAACCCTGACTACACTAGGTAACTTCCCTTCTGGGGCAGACAAGTGTTCAGGTGAGAGTCAGGGTGCTGAATCCCTAGCAGCACCATAGGAGCAAGCCCAGCACCACAGTTTTTTCCTGCAACGGCAGCCAAGTACCCGCAGTACCAGGCTTCTTTTTGCGTTGCTACTAGGGTTCCAAGGCAGCTGCTTTCACCCAGGCACTTTGCTGCCATGGGAATGGGCCACCCTTGCCTGCTTGGCTGCCAAGCACCCAAGTGAAAGCAGCAGTGCTGGAGCCCTGGCAACTCTGTGTAAAGAAGCCCAGCACCATGGCTTGTTCCTGCGGTGGTAGCCATGGGCTTTCCCACTGAGGCTCCAACCAGCTGGAAAAAGTACCACGTGTGGTGGCATCCATCCTGGAACAGCTCTGAATGTGATGCAGCCCTGGACTAGCCAGAGAGGGCACTGAGTGCTCCAGATCCAGGATGTGGGGATGGGGCTGGGGGGGAGTTCCGGAGCCTGATCAAGCACCATTTAGCTGGCTAATAGACTAGTCGTACACCACTTATCTGGTATGCAAGCCAACCATCTACATCTACATTACCCTGCTCCTCTGTATATGCAAGGTACCAAAGGACAATTAGCAGGTCAATGGATTCCTGGAAGAGCTCCACTGCATGCAAACAGGCAGCTCAGCTGGAGCCTTTTTAGGAATCAAGCCACTTGCATTTCCTTCTGTGCTGGCTCTAATTGTGGGTAGCAAAAACAAAGTGGGATGGAGAAGAACTAATATCAGACCTTCCTCTATTTATATCTTGCTCAGGTAACTTCTGAACACATTATGGGGAAGGGCAAGGCCTAGGGGGTAGCTTGGCCTTCCAAGTAGTCCTAATTGCTGTCAAGCAGTAAACTGGGGGTGAGAGGACATTAAGGGATGAGAGAATGGTAGATGTTAATGCGGCCGATCAGTAGTTAGAGAGTGGGCCTGAGGCAGGCTGAACTTGCAGAACAGATATAATATATGTTTCTTCTGAGAGCCATATTCCCTTGCAAATCATTTAGGTATGCACTTCATCTCATAGCTATGCTGATAACCAGCTTTTCTAGACCTGACATCAGATAAATATTAAATAATATTAAAACTGAATACACTGAAGATGCTAAAAAGAGGTCTAAGATCTGTATATACTGATTTGCGTCTATTGCTTCCTGGAAGCAAAGTAAGACTTGTATTAGGTACCTGCATATAAAACCAACGAGCATACGCTTCATCAGATTTTTTCTTCTGAGTGTTATGCTGATGTCTAGTAAAATCAGACGTTATCTTCTGCATTCTCTTTTGAAACAGAAAACAATATGCAAGGTGCTAGAGCTTTGGGAAGACTGAAATAGGCTCTTTAACTGTTTGGTCAAAGCCCTTCCTCTGATGGCTTTTTACTATGGCTGGTGGGCTCTGCACAACATGACACAAAACTGTCCAGACAAGAAGAGAAGTATAGTTCTTTCATTTGAAGGGAAGGATGACATGGCATTTGTGAACAACCATCTTGAAAATTATGAATCCAAGAAAAGGGAGTATGCTATACTGAAACTGCTTATTTTAGCAGAAGCTAAGCACACCTTTATGTGGCTTGCCTTACAGATGAAGGCTCACTATGACATGCCTAACAAGGATTAAGAGGGATCTGCTCAGACTTGGGAAACTCCAAAATGAGTGAAGCATTTGAGGTAGGGTAGCTTTTCAGAAAATCCCAGACTTTGTTCTTCCAAATTTCTGGAAAGGTAGTAATAACTTCTTCCTAAAGTATAAGTATACTATACTAGCAATAACTTCCCAGGGACTACCAGAACAGATAAGGAAATCTGAAGAGTCTTTCACTAGAAGTAAAGAGGGACTTATTCCTTTCCTGAAAGCCCCAGGGACCCCTTTGTCCCTGTACTCTCTGAAGAGCCTTTCAATTGGAAGGAAATGACATGTTAATCTGCAATTTATATTTCTTCAAGTTGTACTGTAGTTTCCTCCAGGAGAAAGCTTTGAAAGTTTTGAATGTACAGCAAATCAAAATTAGGTGAAGCATTAGTCCTGCTGA